CTAACCAGAAGGCTGGTGGTTCAAACCCACCAGCCACTCCTCAGAAGGAAGGCTGGACAATCTACTTCCCTAGTGATACCACCTTGGAAACCCAAGGAAGGGTCACTATGAGTTGGATCTGACTTGATGGCAGTAAGTTTTTTGAGAAGTTTTAAACATGTATTTAGTTACTATCTATGGCAGTGATGTTGATATTCATTTAAGGTAGTAATAAAACTTTTAAAAATCCACATTTAACATGAGTTGATGTACATAAAAATATTATTCAGTATTTGCTATTTGATCAAATTTGGGATTCACTGAATTCCTTCAGTAAACATAGAGGCACTTACTCCAGGCTGTCCTTTGCCTAGCACTAGGACACAAAGGTTCTTGCCCAGAGAATAGATTAGTCTGTGAAGGAATTAACCAATAATTATTTGTTAAATGCTTATCACGTGTTCAAAACATGTTACATATCATATAGACCCTAAAGAAGTAAAAAGAACCACTTCAGCCCTCAAAAAGCATAGAAGATACTGGGAGTAATAAATTGCAAGTGAAACAGCAACCACTAATTAGGAAGGTATGTTGTGGTACAGATCTGACTTTAGGGATGGGGATAACGACAGGAGGGTATGCCCTTCAGTCAGTCAGCAGTAAAGAAAAGTGAAATTTAACCTTAACATTACTTTCGAGATTGAATAGAAAATTTATGCCACAAATTTATGACAGATTTACCAGCTCGACTACACTACCCTTTCTGTTTTTAGAAGCCCAGTTAAATCACTACGACTGCAAAGTCACGGGGCTGGGGAATAACTGCTTTCTGCTGGAAATCGGGGGCTTCAGTGCCAGCGTCCTTTGCGTCCCCAAGACACTCGGAGCCCCCGCCAGCCACGAGAAAGAGCCGCGGCCACAAGACTGGCTGACTGAGGGGCGGGGCTCCTCCACCCTGTGTCCACCGCCCGGGCAGCGCAACCACCTCAACCTCCCTTGCCTCGGGTCCCACGCCCCTCACCGCAAAGCCCTAGAGCTGCCAGGGAGCTAGCCAACGACCTAGGGCGGGGAGCCACAAAGACCGGAAGTGCGCTCCGTGGACTTCCGCTCCTCTGTCACCCCACCCCCGACCTTTGTCCGCCCAGCCTCTTTTTCACAGGCAGCCAATCATCACCAAGGATTCTCCTATTTCCAAAGCCTGAGGGCTCCGGGCCCTAGGCTTAGAGTCAGGCTTTGCTTTCTCAGCCGTGAGGTAGGCAGGGCCCTGGAGAGGCGAGCACCCTGCTACACCCACCGTCGCCCATGGTTCGTGTCTCACATCACTCCCTGATTTATCCTGCCGTCAATTTTCCAGAAAAGTATTCAGATTTCCCTGTAAATCCAGTTCTCTTCTAGGATCTCCACAAAAGTAGACAGGTGGAGGAACGGGCTGAAAAAAATTCATTTATAGTACCTAAGGCATTTGACTGCTAACCAGAAGGCTGGTGGTTTACACCCACCAGCCACTCCTGGGAAGGAAGATTGAGCAATCTACTTCCATAGAGATACCGCCTTGGAAACCAAGAGCAAGGAGGAAGTTGTTAGTTCTCTTAAGGCCTATATCCAGAACTGGTGTTATATCACTTCTGCTGTGTTCTGTTGGCGCGACTAGATTCAAGGGAAGGGGAAACAGCTTGAACATATAGAGACAGGAGGACATTTTAGATTTGCAAAATTATCTTTGCATCGAATCTGTAACACCTTGTTGTTGTTAAGTG